TATATATATATATATATATATATATATATATATATATATGTCAGCACACACAAGCGCACGCACACGCACAAACTTGCACACATACGCACGCACACTGGTTTCGATACGATACATAATGGCCGATATTAGCCATAACATTTAACGGTCTCATGTAACTCCTATCAAAAACACTTCATTACAACAATGTAACAGGACCGAAACCTGTTCTATGAAAAACATTCACAGCTTCCTAAGCTCCTGATATGCAATCAGAAATTAAAGCTCGAATTAGCTTTTAATAATACAAAAGTCGATATTTCGCGTAAAAAATAAAACATTCATGATACTTCGAGAAAGAACTCGGCATTTTGGAAAAGCTTTAAGGTTCATACTAATTCTTTCTGCGGTCCTTTCGTAACGACTCTAAATTACACAAGTGATAATAAGCGCTATAGAGAATTCCTGGACGAAAGCAAAACGGAGTCCGCGAAGCACCACATTCGAACTGGTTTTTTTCAGTTGAATCCGAGAACGCATCACTTCAGCTTCAGCTCCATGGTTCTGTACATTGTTTTCAAATAGTTAATTGGTGTTCTTCTGTTTTTATAAGGTAGTGTATCATAATACCCGTTGAATTAAAATGGACAGAAAGTATTCCTAGTGTTTTGGTGTAAGGTGAACTGTGATTTCAACAGTTCTAGGTGTGGCGCTTTCTAGCTTGATATTTTGACTCACTGTTAGTTTTATTATCATTGATAGTTGGATACCACGAGCCGCGGGACATTTTCTATTCGTTTCTTCCTCTCGCGTTGGTCGTCCATGACAGTGGCCTATTTAGAGTGTCGTGAAGTGTGCGAGAGTCATCCGGTGGCCCATGAAATATTTACACCATGAATACTACTGGTTATTTGAAAACCGATTTTCCTTTGACCTTGGCGTGGCCAATCAACATGTATTCTTTCATTGATAAGCTAACATGAGGTTGATAAGAAATTCATCGAGCAGTACCCCACCATATTCCACTAGATGCGATCACGAAGACCCACACTGGATGGGGGACGAACTGTGGGCGATCGATTCGGTTCAATACGGCTCCGAGGAAGGTGAAGACACCGGAACGTTAGCCAAATGAAGTTTTTTAGCAATCTCGCGTTAGCTTATATATGAAAGAAAAAGGATAAAACTCTAGGCGTTGGCCAATCCTTGAGGAATGCGTCATGCATTCGACTTCATCAAGCATCGTTAGATTTGATTGAATGCATATCTGGCCGTTACAATGACTTCAGGTGGGCTGCCGATGTATCGAGTTAGTGCTGCTATCCTCCCAGACAGGTCTGGTAGCAATTTGCCTGCCCCGGCGGGTTGGAAGGCTTCTGGATACTGCGATACTGCTGATTATATCAGCCGCAAAAGTACTATCCTTCACATAGGTAATCGCCATACTGATGCCAACATCAGCTGGTAGCCGATTCTTGTTCTTTTCGTCCATGGGTCGTTTATTTCCGTTAAGCGATCAATTTGTGTTGTGTTCTCAATACGTATTTTCTTGAATTTCGAAGATGAGTTAATTTTCAATGATGTGAACTACGCGTGTGGTGCGTTGGTTAGAGGTGCCTTGCGATACACACGTTGTTGGTTCAATCTAGCGTCCCGAGTTCACCAAGCCTTCCGTGGTTGGAAAAATAGTACCGGACGTGTCCGGGAAAATAGCAACACTGACTTGGTACATCGGTGAGCCAATGCATGTCACTATATAGGCCAGATATGCATTCATTCACTTCTAACGATGCTTAATGAAGTCGAATGCATGGCGCATTCCTTAGGGATTGATCAACGTCGGACGCTCTGTTCTCTATATTTTATGAACTGTGAGGTCCGGGTAAGAATTGTATGTACCGGTGAAAACGCAGTCCAAGTGCTCTGAAGTTTCTGTCCTTTTCCTTAGATCTTTTAAATATCAACTCACATCACTGCTGCCTAGCCTTCCGCTAGGAGAGTCCGTAATACGAAGCGGCGAGTGCGGAATTTTTTGACTATGACCTCTCTGATGTGCTGGAATTTGACTCATGACACTTTTCTTCCGTATAATTCCTCCTTCACATCATTTGTCATTTTCATAGAATGCCTTGGTTTCACATACGATTTGCTGTGTTTAAACAGAGAGTCCTACATTGCGGTTCGTTTCTCTTTCACATGTAGGTTGCTCCTGGACTGGAATTTGTTCCAATTTATAGGCAGCCCTACCCTTTCCCCACGATTTTTGAGTGTCGTCTCTGCTTCACTGGTATCTCTCGAAAAGATGACGATGTTTTCAGGAAAAGGAAGTTTTGTACTGATTTACTGCCGATGCATATAGGTATATAGGTTCGTAGGTTCGAACGTCTTCATTACCTATTGCATCTTCCTGTTGGACTTTTCCTGTGAGGATGGCAAAGACTTGATTGACAATCTTAAGTGCTGTATTCTAGCCATTACGACATCAGCCAGTCGGAGACGTTATGTGGAACAGCTTCATTCCTTCGCCAACATATTGGGTTCTCTTGGTCGCTGTCAAGCGCTTTCTCTTAATCGACATAGAGTATAACAAAGAGCAGGTGACACAGAATGCTTTCACCACAGATACTATTTACATATGGCCCTTGCAAGTGAGTTTCCTTTGAAGTCCTGCCCACTTAAAATGGTTTAGCTCCAAACTTTATTGCGCCGTAGGATTATCTTCTTGCAGAACACACAATCTTTCAGACGACAAATACAATCATCATTTCGTCTATCCTTCTTGAGCGTGATAGTGGTGAGGAACTCATTCCTTTTGCAGACCAGATGTAGCGTGGTTTGCGAGAAGTGCTTTATTTCACGACTGCCACCTCGAAGGAAATCGGCTGCGGTGTGTCAGGTCTTGTAACTGTCCGCCTGCATACTGTTGACCATTCCATAATGGAATGTGTTCACTGTTTTTGTCTAGAGAGAATCTTTTACTCTGAAACACCAGTAGTGGGACGCGAAAGGTTTAAGTGCAGCTTTCTTCTTGTGAGTTTCACATCATGGCGCGAGGTGGTGGCTTAAGCGAACCATGCCAGGAATCAGCGCTACGCTCAAAGAAATCAAGTTGCGAATTGTCCTTTAACCTGTAGCCCTCGTCCCGTTGATCATTCAACGACTCACGCGGAGACCAGTAATTTTCCATTTCTCGTTGTCACATGCAAGAGTAGCTGGGTGGGTTATACTCACTTTAAGGACTCGCTGAACGTCATCTCCTTATTTCAAGGGTCTTCGTGAAAAACTCTGACCATGCGACCTATCATAAGGAGAGAAATCTCCGTCCGTTCAACAACTGCCAGCGAGTGCCTCTAATGACGAGCAGACAATGGACCGCTTTTATGTCGTTAGCCTAAGCCTTACTTTGTAAATGAATGCCGCTACACTTGCATTATTTGACTGTGTAGAAACTGTTACATGTCACAGTTTCACACCCAGGAATGCCGCCTTGGTCACCGTTTGGTACTAAACTGTTGTGTGATAGAAGTATTGAAATATCAGTTCCCTATCAGTTTGGGTAAGTTTTCATAATGTAGTTATTATAATGGAAATTACATGAAAATCCCAAGTGTACAATGTTATTCTATTCAGCGTTATAAATTCCACAAAGACTTCGATGTTGCAGTTATGACTAGTAACGAAAGCGACGTGGCTGCAGATTTCTTCGACATTGATTCCTTATTGGCACGTTCAACGAAAGTAATGTGTACCTACAACAGCGATACCCCTCGAGGTAGGCAGTTTCTTGACGATTTTGTTTACAATACTCGGTGAGTTCTTGGTGCAAATGCGTAGATCAGGAATGTTTCGAAATCAATGAGAAATGGATGAGTCTTGTGGTTTTTTTCGTTTAGAGGTGTTTGAGTTACTTGGCACAAATCCTCCTCATTATACCGATGAGAAAGGGTATAAGGTACTTACTCCATTTTGGTTCGTTCGAGCAGTTGAGCCATTTTGTTCGGTGAGTGGATCAACTTCCAATCCTAATTTTCTGTCCAGCCCTTTTTTGCACTATACCATCTTTCACATAACTGCTTTTTTTACGGGTAGAATATCCAATGTTCCAAAAACATGTTCGATGTTCACTTCATAACCATTCTTTGGATTAATAACGAAGTCATTACTCTTCTTTCCGGTCTCGAGCACATTGGGCTGAAATCCTATCCCATAAGTCGCTGCATTCCATGCAACGTAATAAATATCTTTCCATCCTCACTGCTTTTCCTTCAGAATTTCTTTCCGTCTAATTCGTTATTTCATTTTTCATGGACTTTTTTGAAAGAAATCGGTGTGTACTACTATTCAAGTACTGTTTCAGATGGCACTTCCAATGGCCTACAATTCTAATGTTAGGAACGTTTTACTAGCAAACGCTGCACACGCTAATTTAGACTCACTTCAACCATACTACTACGAAATGGGAATGAGTCTCTGTCACTTAGTCAGTAGAAATATTGGCGGTGAAATCGCCGATTGTTTGTTGAAGACAATTGTCCAGCGAATTGGAAGTAAGACAAATTCGGTAGCGTAAAAGTTTGATGTTTCTTAGGTCGATAATTGGTTTTTGAGACATTCTTGTACGTCTTCAGTGAAATCTCATTGTTACTGCAGTTTTTTCATCCTCGTGAAAAAACTAAGGTGGCTAGGAATGTGGAACTTGCAGCATTTCTTTCATGTCGAATTTATCCGTATCCGTCTACTTTTATCCACCCGATAGAATCTAGTCCTCCCAACGGTTTACTGCCTCATCGTGGCTAGGAGATGTTCAGGGGTGTCGAACTGCGATGTACGGCTGGCGGTCTCACCCTTCGGCAAGGTATGCCATCCTGAGCAGTAGTCTGGCGTTCCCATCAAGAACCCCAGCTAGGAGTAAACTAATACGAGGATCCACCACCGTTCTGGTATCAAACTAGTCGCATGGTGACAAATCTCCCTCTGATCCACGAGGGGCTGCGAATGCCTGTGGTGGTGACGAACTGGGACAGACATTGGCCAGGATGACCTCGGGACTCCGGGAAAGTACAATGGCTAAACAAGCGAAAAACTCCGAAAAATAGAGAACATGTTGGGGCCCGCACCCGCACAACAGCGAGGACGGGTTGTCCAAGTATCCAAGTAAGTATTACGATATCTGTAGGTCCTTCATGGGTTAATTTCTTGTTATTAGAATGTTTATTGTTGCGTAATATCTATGGACCCTTTAGCAATGGTACTTTCTTTTTTTCCTAAGTTTCCCGTGAGCATATATCTATTTTTTTATTAGATCATAGTTCCCATTCATCATTAACATTTTAGATAGTCTATAATTATAATTTTTTGTAGCTATCGTCCTGAGAACCATTTGTGGTACTGAAATCACCAGCAAATCGGACAATATGGAGAAGAGACTGTACGAGGAAGGCATGAAATGTCGAAGTCGTCTACACGAATATTTCTCAGCTCAGCAAGTCAACAAAGGTCGGAAACGACGGCTTTGATGGTTCTTAAGTATTAGCTGTACTTCTTTATTTTACTCTTACGTGCTTAATTTTTATACTCGGATGCAACTAGTATTTCTTCCCTAGTTTCTACTACTTTCTAAATGAGGCATCTAAAAGCGTGTTTCGTTTCAAATTGTGTTTCTGTAGATTCCGCCTCTGACATGATATGTCTTGAATATTGTAGGTGTACTTGGAAGATTCTGTTGATCTGATTTCTGAAGTATCAATGTTTCGTTGTATCACGTAGGATACAAGCATTGTTCCTAGGATATGGCGTCTTGACTTTACAGATTTTAAGCTTAAAGATTTTATATCGACCTTTTTGAGCCGGCGGAAATCGCACTTTAAAATAAAAAATATAGTGCACTGCCTGTTACACTATTGAGGCGTCATTTTAACAAGACTTACCATGAACAAAGGGAAAAACCACCTGGATCGCTAGTCTTTAGTTTTAGAAGGAAATACATCTAAATCTCACATCCTTGCCGACTGGATGCAGGTTTTGGTCTATCAATATAGGAGCCTAATACTCCTAAGATCGCGTGTCCTTCTTTATGATGACTTATATCTGAAATATCAGACAATCTAAGAACTGTGTTTGCTACAGCTGAAGACGCAACTGTATCTGGATGAGCTGATGGATTATGCTTAAGACTTCTTTGCTTGCATTATAAAGTCCGGGGAGTTGTCTGTGTTAGCGTTCCTTGGAAATCTGGATTTTTAATAAATCTGAAATGGAAGTATTGCTTTATCAGGGCTATATAGTGTTACACAGACAGAGCAAAATCATTCCTACAAACCCTTAAAGTTCTTTATCGCTTGAATGCTGAAGTGGTTGGTAAATTGCCACTATTTGGTGAAACATAAGCACAGTTATGAATGTGTTGGTCATCCTCGTGCCAACCTCTGAATCGGTCTCCTAGCGACATAGTGTTACAGAAACAACTAGCATAAGTACTACGTCACCTTAAGTGTTCTGTCGGTATGTTGGTTACTGTTGAAGGCTTCAGCACTTCAACCTACACCGTTCAGGATTCCAAACACTGGACCATTGTCTTAACGAAATTTGCTTGTAGGTGTAATGTTCAGTCTAAGCTCTTGAATATGCAGGAAAACTGCGACGTGTGACATGACTAAACAGTGGAAGAAAGGCAAGCTATTGCGGTGTTTTTGTTAAATATCATAAAGGATTTCAGGAATTAGTAGCCTAAAGAGTGATTTCTCGGAATAGCCGTTGTATCCAATGCGGACAATATCGTGCTCTAATGATCATAGCGCGCAATGTGCGATTCAAAGTTAGATGCTCAGGATGTCGTTGTGTAAGGATGGCTTTACGGTCTCTGTCATTATCTGTGAAGTATGGATTTTTCGGAGTTTTCTAGTCTTATCTCGCTCAGTTGGAGCAGTACCTTCCATCGTTGATGTTATTGCGATCTGGTGCACTGTATTTAACGTTTTGCTTTCCTACTAATCAGTTGTTGATCCGCTCGTTTTCTCGTGTACAGTTGATTTTCTATGGGACCGACTCATCAATCACAGTCGTCCATTGTTTTCTAATGACTCGACTTTTTAGGACTGACGAGGTTTATGGCTCGAAATGAGTCCCAACCTCAAGCCAGTAGTTCCAGTGCCGGTCATTCCATTCAAAATGGTGTTCCGAAGCAGGTTAAGATTTCTGTCAAAGGTTCGATCCATCATTCCTTATGGTGCTTAATAGCTAAGCGTTCCTAAAGGCATTTCATAGCTTTGTTTTCAGTTTTGTCCGCGAAACTCAACCCTTCTGGAGGGTTTCTAAGTAAACCTGTCGATTCGTATGTGGAACTCTCTGTTGAAGGGGGTCAGACGAGTAAGAAGACTTCAGTGAAGAAAAAGACTAATAATCCTGAATGGGATGAGTCGTTGTCGCTTCCCATCACCGACTCTTCAGTTCTACTTTTTCGTGTATATAGTCGAGCAAAGCTTTTCGATGATCACTTGATTGGACAAGCCCAAATGAAGGTTGCGTCGATTCCAAAGTTGGAAAGTGGAGAATGTGGGCAATTGTCTATATATGTAATGACTAATATGGTCTTAAGTGGTGCTTACGTACATTTTTGTGTTCGAATTCACTAACTCACTTTGTTTACAAACCTATTTTTCTTTTCCTGATACACTTTTGATTTTGTAGTTAATCCAACGGCGATATCAATCCAAGTGATCGGTAAAGATACCAACAAAATGGGAACACTGAGAGTGGCATTCTCCGGTAATATACTTAGGTACAAGAAAAATGTTGGTGAGTTTTTCGTTCTATTCTGTCTGCTATGTTCTTCCACCTTATGGAATAATATTTTCCGGAAGTTGCTATGTGATAGGGCACCTGTAGCGAAGTGGTTGGAGGCGCTCTGCAACACACATGTGGAGTCGATCCTCGAGCCCATAGACCACCAAGCATTCCATCCCTCCGGCATTGGCTCGATACATCACCAGTGCCAGTCATTGTATTGGCTATATATGCATTCAGTCACCTCTAGCGAAGCTCAATAAAAGTCGATACATGGCGCATCCCTCAGGAATAGGTCAACGCTGAGAGCTTTTATCTTTTATCATGTGATAAATTTGCCAAAGTTTTATTGCAACAATTTGTGAGTGGGGATAGTAAATATTGTTGCGGAGTTATAAATTATCCTTCCCTGTGAGATTGTTCCATTTGGGATGATGGTCACTATTCTTTTATTATATTCCAGGTTCTAACGGTCGAATAGCTGAAGCCATCGATGGTGAAGCCTCGACGTCGGCTGGAGCAATGGGAAGACGTACTTCTGTGAAGAACCGTGACACAATTGCACAGACTCCACAACAAGTTTGTTTTCCCAAAGACTATAGTCGATAAATCAATAAGTAGGCTTTATTATGTTCTAGGCATATTTCCGTCCTAGCGTTTGTATACAGGCATGGTTATTGAAAGATTAGATTGTAAAGTTTTTAAGGTAGCTAACGTTTGAAATGTTTAAGATGCCTCTAACTTTAGCCGTCAGTAGAGGATCAGCGTCTTCCTGATGGTTGGGAAATGCGATACGACCAATTTGGACGAAAATACTATGTCGACCACACGACGAAGAGTACAACGTGGGAACGACCTTCTACCCAGCCGTTGCCATCTGGTTGGGAAATGAGGAGGGATCCTCGTGGACGGGTATTTCATCATCTCATCTTTACTTGGAGTACTCAAGGGGTGTTTTCCTGAACATAGTTTGTTATTCGACCTGGGTTTTATTTCACTTTCCAGTTTTTTTAAATAAAGTATTGACCGTTACTCGTCATTAAAATTCATTACTGTAGTTCAGTTCCATAATTATGTCTTATGTCACTAGTATGGGTAAGCCAGGAACTGCATCACTATTTGAGATGTGAAATTATTGGTGTAATATGTTTGTTTTTCCTAAAATTCAATGAGTGATCAAGTCTTGAACGTTGCAATTTATCTCAGGTGTACTATGTTGACCATAACACTCGAACAACTACTTGGCAAAGACCAACAGCTGATATGCTTGAGGCTCATGAGCAATGGCAATCCGGTAGAGACCAAGCGATGCACCAGTGGGAACAACGGTTCCTGCTTCAGGTGGTCTATTTATGGTTTATTATTGTTTTTTTTTCGACGTAGATTAAGACTTTTTGTTTAAAACACTGCTATGTTTAGAAAACAACATGTTCATTTATATAGGCCAATTCATTAACGGCTAGCGACGACCCACTTGGACCATTACCGGATGGCTGGGAGAAACGTGAGGATCCTAAAACGAGAAGGATATATTTTGTTAATCATGTAAACAGAACTACTCAGTGGGAAGATCCGAGGACTCAAGGGTATATTATTTAACTTTGCATTCTTTGACAATAAGTTCTCAGTGTTAGAGAAAATATTTTTTTCATAAATTAGTGAGGGTTCTTATTCTTTGTCTTTCTTGTGTGGGGTTTAGCAATAACTTCTTTCGAATGGTGTACTGTTATATATTAAAGAAAAGCTCATCTCATGCATTTAACACTGTGTAATTTATTTATAACACGGTATATCTCTTTGAAAAATTTTATACGCTAGAAATTGAGAGGTCCAAACAGCTACTGCGAAAAATTTGTTACTACGGATTTAATCTCCGACGTACGCAGCGCAGACGACTCGGAATAGCTATGAGGAATGGTGCTAAAGAAGTGTCAGCGAACCTACCGTGCAGCTTTGGTTTAGGAGATTTTGTTGTGGTGAATTCCATCTTTAAGGTGAAGGAAATCTTGAACGCTCTTCTGCTATTGACGACAATGAATTAGACGTTTTACTGGAAGTAGATACACACCCAACTGTTCGAGTTCTTGCCGAAGATTTCGGTATGAACAGTTCAATCGTTTTGAAGCATCTAAGGATCTCTGAAAGTTGAGAAAGGTCGACAAATGGATGCCATACAAATTGACAGCACATCGCATTACCGACGAGTGGTCACACTTCGCACCATTGACCCTGCCAACGGTGAACAACCTTGGTTACAGAACTCTGTTTCAACCACCATATTAGCCAGACATCTCTCATGCCAGTTATCTATTCTTCGCGTTTCCCGACAACTTCCTATGCGAGGAAAGCTGAACGGGTTGAATAAATTCTTTCATTGTAGACAGAAATCTGTAGATCCCAATGATTTTTATCTCAACTGCTAGCTCTTATGACATCTACTATTCAACAGTAATAGTCCCTGCTGTTCTGGAATAACTAAAATTCTCTGGTAGCGCTTGAGCTGATGTCTGCAGAAGTGATTGTGAAGTTTCATTTTCATGCTGGGCTTTTGCATGCAATGTCCCAGTGCTACATTTCCGTTAAAAACTCCATAAGATCGTGATTCTTGTCGATTCATATTAATTTAGTGTGTCGGATCAACCTCTTCCCGATGGTTGGGAGATGCGCTTTACTGAACAAGGCGTGCCATTTTTCATCGACCACTCAACAAAAACAACAACCTATAATGACCCCCGTACTGGTAAGCCTGTGGGACCAATGGGAGTTTTCGGAGTCTCCATGTCTTATGAACGAACGTTTAGATGGAAGATTGCCCAATTTCGCTATCTCTGTTTGGTTTGTTATGTTCTTTTCCTCGTATTTCGTGGACTGTATTAGAGTAATCATATTACTGATTTCAGTCAAACAGTGTTCCGAATCACGTGAAAATAACTGTTTCCCGCACGAATGTTTTCGAGGATTCTTTCCAAGAGATCATGCGTAAGAATGCAGTAGATTTACGGCGAAGGTTATACATACAATTTCGGGGAGAGGAAGGTCTTGACTATGGTGGAGTAGCGAGGTGATTATTCACAGATAGCATTTAATGTTTCCATCTTGTATGTGGCAAACGTAAGCTTGTTTTTTACAGAGAGTGGTTTTTCCTCCTCTCACATGAAGTGTTGAATCCAATGTATTGCTTGTTCATGTATGCGGGTAACAGCAATTATAGCCTTCAAATTAACCCAGCTTCGTTTGTGAATCCTGACCACCTGAAGTATTTCGAGTATATTGGGAGGTTTATTGCAATGGTTGGTTTTTGAGTTGTAAAATTTCTTTCTTGGATGCAACATCCCTAGACTATGTTGTTTTCTATGATATATTGTCCGATTACAAAACTTCTAATATTTCAGGCACTGTTTCATGGAAAGTTCATATATTCTGGCTTTACCATGCCGTTCTACAAGAAGATGCTCAGCAAGAAAATTGTTCTAAAGGATATCGAACAAGTCGATACAGAATTTTACAACTCGGTGATGTGGATCAAGGACAACAATATTGATGAATGTCAGATGGAGTTGTATTTTGTTGCGGATTACGAGCTTTTGGGGGAACTTAAAACTCATGAATTGAAACCTGGCGGAACCGACATTGCCGTAACAGAAGCTAATAAATTAGAATATATTTCACTACTAGTGGAATGGCGTTTCAACAGAGGGGTTGAGCAGCAGACGAAGGCTTTCTTCACCGGATTCAATTCTGTTTTTCCTCTTGAGTGGTTGCAGTATTTCGACGAGCGAGAATTAGAGTTGTTGTTATGTGGTATGCAGGATGTCGATGTTGAAGATTGGCAGCGTAATACCGTCTACCGTCACTATGCACCGCAAAGCAAACAAATAGTTTGGTTTTGGCAGTGGGTGAGAAGCCTAGACCAGGAGAAACGAGCACGACTTCTACAGTTTGTTACCGGTACTTGTCGAGTTCCTGTTGGTGGCTTTTCAGAACTAATGGGTAGCACCGGTCCACAGCTGTTCTGTATCGAGCGGGTTGGTAAAGATAATTGGCTTCCTCGTTCACATACATGTTTTAATCGCCTTGATTTGCCACCTTATAGAAGTTATGAACAGTTATCGGAGAAATTAAATATGGCGATTGAAATGACTGAGGGCTTCGGGAATGAATAATGTGATATTGTTGGTTTATGGATTCGTCTGTGATAATTTAATCCTTGCTTTCTAGTTAGTAATTGTGAATATAGTTTCTATATCGTCAATACTAATATTAACTGAATTCTTAATAACGGTTGTGAAATAGACTCACTATTGTAGAATACTACTTTCCATACCTAAAGGTCAAAGTCCTATATTCCAGTTTCTGTAATGATGGTCAGTATATGCGATTTTATTTCACTTCCTCTTTCTGTCACTGGTCATTGTAAAGAATAACTGATCATCTTTCTATGTGTAGAGACAATAAAGATCATCCATGGTCGGTATTCTTTGATGTAATCACGATCATGGTTTAGACCACGAGTATCTATTCATCTCTATCTCTAAGTGGTCGCATGTTTCATGACGGTATATTGTCACAAGTCGTTGAAGGAAATTTTGGATTTGAGTTTTGAGGTTTAAAGCCATGGTTGCCACGGTGGAAGTAGAGGCTGTCAAGAAGGACGAGACGGAGAAGGTAGTAATATTTAGATTTTCTTTTCATTTTCGTAATTTCGTGGAGAAGTTTTTAGGTCGTCGTTGAGGATGGATCGGATGATTCTGACGATGACACTCCGGGTCTCGAGGGTGAATTGACAGAGGAACAGAAAAAGGTTGCAGAGGCTGCCGGGCTCGGTGATCAGATGGACAAGCAAGTGAAACAAAGCCGTTCTGAAAAGAAGGTGAATGCCTTTCACTTATTTTGAAGTTGCTCCTGATTGTTTTGTGCCATTTTTGTATGGTCCGTTATTTCTTAACTATGGTAACTCTAGCGCAATTTCCATTTTAGTTTCTCCACGTTCATGCGAAGTAGTCGTCTGAGGGTTTACTAAGTTGTGAATAGATTTCTAAGACATGGCGACGTTTCCTGACATAGGTTTGCGCCTATGTTTCTGCTTGCAAAAATCGCATCTTCCCGTTTGGGTAAACCTTCCCGAGAAACAGAGACGCCATTCCATCAATGACGGGTAAATCCTTGTTCTCTCTTCTACTTACCAGCCACTGCTCGTGCGTAATTTTCGGACTCTGCTCCAATTTTCAATGTCGTTAACAATATTTGTGATATTCGATGCCATCCATAGTTTTATTGATTTATTCTTGTTTTCTGATATGTGCAAATTATGGGTTGGCTTTATTTTGTGCTAGGAGAAGAGTTTTAAGGTTTTTGTTGATGGTTTAGACATTGTAACAAATCTAATGGATCTGGTGATGTTTTTTGGTAAATGGTTCTTCTTATTTTTCTGTTAAAGCGATCAAATGGGAAATCTTCTTAGTTATTTGATTACATAGGGAGTGCTTTTTTTAGGCTCGTAAGCTGTTCTCAAAACTTGGGCTGAAACCGGTGACTGGTGTGTCGCGGGTGTGCATTCGTAAATCGAAGAACATTTTGTTTGTCATCAATAAACCTGACGTGTACAAGAGCCCAGGTTCTGACACATACATTGTATTTGGAGAAGCCAAGATCGAAGATCTTTCACAGCATCAACAGTTGACTGCAATAGATAGAATCAAGCCCAGTGAAGATACTCCTGCTCCGCTTGCTACTGTGCAAGAGGATGAGGATGATGGCACTGAGGTAATTCCTATTTGGAACATTCTTTCCAATATTAATTAGAGAATTGATTATACTAGTTTATATAATTAAAATCTAACAGTACTCAAGAACGTTCGTCTGGGGTTCAAGATTTTCTTCCTTAGTTCACATTTTCTTTCTCTTGTTTTCTTTTTTTCATTGGTCACATGATTTGACGTGTGTCATGTGATGGTAGTCCAAAGATAACAATTTGACGTTTTCTCATCACTTCCTAATGTTACGATTTTATGTACAATTGGTTTCCCACTTCATTATAGGAAGATGCAACCGGTATTGAAGAGAAGGACATTGAGCTAGTGATGTCACAAGCGAACACCTCCCGCAACAAGGCGATTAGAGCGTTGCGATCAGCTGATAACGATATTGTAAACGCCATTATGAGCCTAACAATGTAGCTACTATTTCTCAGTTGTTTTTTTTTTTCTTCGTTTTATGTGTAGGTTACATATAAATGATTCATTTACAGTACTTGCTTCGACCTACTTCATTTGTGTGGTTTTTTCTCCTACTTTTAAGTTATACGAGCTAGTTGTCTTCTGCCAATCAAATGTAGAAAATTTGTCTGCAGATTTTTATCGGTATCAATCAGGTAAAGGAAACACAAAGTTTATCATGTGACAAAGAAAGCTTGTCTAGTTGTTAAAGAACTGCTTACTCAAACTTTATATTAAAGATCCGAGATATACATAGATAGTCTCCGTGGATATCAAGCTTACGTGTGTGTATCGGTGAGCGAATAAATTAAACTGTGGTGGTCATCGTCAGTGGTACCTGAAAAGGACTCAAGTATCAAGGATTGTAATCAACGAAGCAACAAGTGGTGATTTTCGGACTATCAAAGAAGATCGGAACGATCTGTCATCAGTGTTTTGCCCTGCGTGTATGTTCCTAACAGTACGAAGTGATATTCCCTTATACGTCGTACTTGGACGGCTCGACCTCACTGGTTGTACGGGCTCCAGCATAACCTTCATTTTCCGGAGATTTGATGGTTGAGCCATTACACGAGTTCGATACCAGGACGGTGGCGGATCCTCGTATTGGTTTACTCTTAGCTAGGCTGCCTGTTGGAAACGCTGGACTCGTTCTCAGCTTTAGAGACTTTGCCTGGGGGCGAATGACCCCGATACAACGTAAGGAGGTGCATTTCCGTCACAAGCTTACTGCTTTACTGCTTAAAATGTGATCTGGGCGTTGCCACCACTCTTACATTCACTGTCTTGGCATGAATGACAGACCTTCACAGTGGACTTTCACAGAAGCCCAGGGTTATCATACATAATGTGGGACGCGTATTTCAGAACCATCAGTTTTTTCTTTCCTTCCTTTTACAGAAGCCGTCTTCAAACCTACTTTGTGAATCCCAGAATTCCTCGGATTCTATTTTTTTTTTCTCGCATCTATCATCCACGAAGGTATTCGAACTATAGCGCGGGGTTTCAGTTGCTGCTTGAGGATCTCTGCCTCCTTTATGAATGTCGTTGAATCGATTCTGTGGTTGAGTCGATTCTCCTGGAAATCTTAGGAGAACGGGGCTAGATTGTTTTACCATTCGGATTACAGGATGAACTTTTCCCAGACAATTGTGGTATGAATTTCCTGATGCCGAAGATATGAGAGGCTTGGTAACCTTGGTGTGGGGGTAAACTACACTGTGCTCGTGAGGAATCGTATCACTAACAACTACGCTACCTGCCCCATACTATTAGTCTTAACTAATGAAAGAGAAGTGCATATTACAAATTTATCAATTTCATAACGGTACTATTAGTATAAAAAGTACGTGTTTTTATGTTGAGCAACAAGCCATTAGGACGTGGTCGCTTAGCGTACTGTATTAATGTACTGATGCATACTTAACAATAAGCTTCGTCTACTAGCGAATCGTACTAAGGAAACATACTTCACTTTCCACATGGGGCAGGACATGGAGGAGCAGGGCAGCATGCTTGAGTAGACCCTCCAAAGCAAGCTAGCGATGGCAGTACGAGCATTAGGAAGCAAATAAGTAGTAGAAGCTGAAAAGTAGGCTATCGTCATCGTGTAATGACTAGTAATGACTACGCAGAAAATATGGCATTTTGGAGATATGGAAAAAATAGGGAAATTTGTGAATTGCAGTCGTTGACAGTACATACGAAGAGATAATAATCATCATCGGCATGTCTTGCTTGATAGGGGTAGACGAAAGTAGATAACTAATAACTAATGTACTTTTTTAGTAAAGGATAACCGATAAAGCTCTTGGCGTTAATCAATCCCGTAGGGATGCGCCTTGCATTCGACTTCATTATTATGCATCGTTTGGGGATGACTGAATTCATATCTGTTCTCTAAAATTACTCGCGGTGGCCTACCGATGTATCGAGCCAGTGCTGCTATCCTCCCTGACAAGTCTGGTACCAATTTGCCGACCCCGGAGGGATGGGAGGTTTGGTGAGCCTCGGGCGCGGGATCGTTCCCTTGTGTATTGCAGGGCACCTCTAACCACTGCGCTACACACGCCTTTGTGTGCTTTAATAAGGTAGAATAAGAATACAGCAGACCACTAATACTACTACACTATTGGAATGCCAACTCACGAATTGAATTTGAGCGGCGGCGAGCATTCGCGAGACGGTAGGTGATGGGTGTGGATGGCGGCTGCTGCTGCTGATGAGTGGAGGTGGTATGGGAGACGACTGTCGTTGGGCACGACGAGCGGCTTTTATTCGCCCGGAGCCGGACACTGGCGTAACTTGAATTCCTAGCCGATGCCGCAGCGCGTCAACCCAGTCGGCGAAGGCTATTCAACAATACAACATCTAGCATAAAACGGACCAATCGACGACGTTACCACGTAAAAAATAAACAAACGAACGAACGCACCCACCCACTCCTACTCCTACTATCGTGTGCTTGAACCAGAAAATTATCGACGAGATGGATTTTCTTTTGTGGTTACTTGAATCCGCAAACATTTCATTTAACTAATGGTTAAAATTTTGTGGTGTATGTGGTGTGTTCGAAAAGACTCAAAGCAAATTTGAAAAGCGGATTCGAGGCCCGAAGTATTGTGATCCGCACATAGTGCGCTACATGGGCTGTCGTATCATGTAATAGAACAAAAATAGAGCAAAAAAAGTAGTTGGCGCAAATATTACCTTAGAAATAACATATAGTATAGTTAATCTCTACGTAATTAGTTTCATTTCACTTATAAAGTGAAATAAAACATTTTTTCTCAAGTCGTTTAGTATGCGTTCGAAATCTGAGGTCTTACTGTAGCTCGTGGTAAAGGATGATCTAATAAGGTACGCGCTAATGCGAGTCTTCTGGCGTCTTAACAAGTTAAAACACATGGAAACCTCACCCACTAAGCGTTGAATCCACAAACTCTTTTCTGACTTATGAAGAATAAATGTGATAGAGTAATTTCCATTAAGGAATCCTTTTCTATGTTGCAATTACGACCATGTTACACTTTCAACGCATCCGGAAACTAGTCCTCAGCGTTATGAACGATTACGATTCCCTACTCATAAGAAGACTATTCATCTCTTCTGAAGATGCTTAGCAGGTTTTGAGCTAACAAAAACTATTCATTGAGACGAATGGGTGTGAACAAGTCATATTGGTAAAATATTGTCGTTCTATTTCTCAAAGATGCCTTGTTTGCAAGGAATCAGAAAGTGCAATACATTCTTAATAAGTGAGAACATTGCGGTAACATAAATAGAATGGCTTCAGGCCTTTACGGCATCCGAAACCTTCTTGTGTTATTTCGAGAGATTGAATTAGGCCTAACAGTAACTGTGCCTAACTCAACTCTATAGTGAAGAATTCCTTTTTTCTTTTCCTGCTAAGAAATATCTAAATGAGCAATAGTAGGTAGTAAGTATAAGAATTTGAAATTATCTCTTCAACCATCTACGGTCGGTATCGCAAGGTATCTCTCTTCAGTAGGCTGCTAAAGATATCGAGTATATGGAGTCAAAATTCATCCATAGTAAGTTCATGTTCGAACCTATATTATGTTTACAAATACTATGAAACCGAACTTCTTCCTAAGAAAAAAGCATTAGATGTTGGGATTTTTCTGGCGAGGTCATGAAAATAGCTGAGCAGACGATGTGTCAAATTTGAGCTTTCCAGGCTCTCAAGAAGTGTAAACCATCGAGACGTCATCCACTGCTGAATAAATTTTTTTTAATAATAACCTAACGTGTGCTCGAGAAATGAACATTAACTGTTCTTTATGATTTCAGTTTAGACTCGACAACTCTACGGCGTTGTTGTGAAAGGTAGCGAACCGGATCCTAGTTTGTTTCCCTCAATGCCATTAAACGATATGGTCATTCACATTTAGAAAGACGAGTTTTCAGCACGGCATTCGTGATCGTCATCGTTCACTGCTATGCAAATGAGAAGTGCTGTTTAGCCGAAGTCTGAGGATTTGTTGGCATTGTAATGTAGAAAACTGGTTTGTTAGCCGAACGACATCGGCATTTGAAAAAATCCACATAGTTTCTACGCATGACGGGTTACTGTTTTGATGAGATTGACATTTGCTACGATTTGAAGACGCTTCCGAATACCTTACACATCCAGTGACACCTGTTTATGTTGGTGATAGTCGTTCACTTAAAATGAATGTTTAATCAACACCTACAGTCCCAGGACAAGAAAAAACACAAACCCAAAATACATACACTAAAGATAAGCAATCGAACCGCAGCTGGAAAAATGTCTTTAAGGATTTGTTCCCATCGATGCCAGCTTATCTTTTCTGATTTGCAACGATTATGCGCATTTTGGAAACTGCGTCACCATCCGCTTGGTCTATCTGTGATAGCGCTGGTGGCAACCGGAGATACCGGTTCCTCTTTCAATTTTTCTTCTCTTAATTTTTACTTAAATCCCTGTGTAAATCGTAATGCTCATTAGCGTAAATTTGTCACGCTTCATGTGGAACTGGAGATTTTTTTCCTAAACTCTTCTTTATATATGCAATGTGGTGCAATTTTCTAAATGTGCGTTTAAAAGACTTTTTAAATAAAGAAGTTTCTCACTAGCAGCTGCATAAGAGTTTTCTCCTAAGATAACTCAATCATTCCTCTCCACTCACAAATGCACAAGTCGAAGAGCAACTGTTGGATGGTTGATTGGCTGATTGGTTGGTTGATATGAAAACGTGAAAGATTGAAAAGAAAACTTCAAACTGAAACCTTTTTATCATCTCATTCTTACCGCTGTCTAGTTCTTCAGCTTTGTAGTTTTTCGATAGTATTTCTCTAGGTATGGATAATCGTCGATTGCGTGGTTTTTGTGACTGAGAAGTGAGTCCAGTGATGTAAGTACCTCAGGAAAAATCAACAACACATTTGGTACAAATTGAATTAACGAGCACATCATC